TTGGCGTTACGATTCAGCCAACTGGGACGGTTTTCGTGACTTTCTGGCTTGTTATCCCTGGAAGGATTGTTGTTTTAAATCTGATGTTTCCACATCTGTTTCAAACTTCACGGAGATTGTTCTTCAACGTGTATCTTTGTATTCCACACTTCTCCAAAACCGGCAAATCACGATCCCCTGAGTGGTTTAATCACGTGGAAAATGCCCTTATTTTTCCAATCCCAAAGCGCGGCGACCCTTCCGACCCCAACAACTACCGTCCTATTACTCTTACATCTGTAATCTCGAAAGTGTTTGAAACCATTATTTCCGACCAACTGCGTACGTTTCTCGAAGGCGAAGGTTTGTTAAATGACCGTCAGTATGGATTTTGCTCTCGTCGATTTACGGGTGATTTACTGGCGCTCACATCACATTCCTGGTCGGCTGCACTCGATAACCACGGAGAAACTCACATGGTCTCGCTCGACATCTCAAAGGCCTTCGACCACGTTTGGCATGAAGGTCTGCTGTCGAAATTACCCACGTTCGGATTCCACCCGTCTGTTGTATTGTGACTTCGTTGTTTCCTCAGCAACCAACCATCTCCGTCCGAGTAGATGGGGTCCTATTTCGGCCGTCTCCTGTAGACGCCGATGTTCTCCAGGGTTCCATACTTTCGCCCACCCTCTTTCTCTTATTTATCAACGTTCTTTTATCCCAAACATCTAATCCTTTTCACTGCTTTGCTCTTTATTATCCCCAAAACCGCCAAGCTCAGGCCAACATCAATCACGATCGTATTGTCATTAGTGCATCCCTTACCTCCGACCACGGACTACTCCGCATGGGGTCCTACCAACAATGCGTGTTTCAATGCTTCCAAAACTTCTCTCCATTCAGTCTCTCTTAAACATGCCTCCTCTCCTCCTCAATTGATTTTTGATTCTCTGCCCCTTCGTTCCACAAATTCTCTTTTCCTCCTGGGTTTATCCATAAATTCTTCTCTGTTGGTCCCCTTTTATCTCTAAACTTGCAAAGTTGGTTTTCTGTTCTTTTTTTCTTTTTCATTTTACTTCTTTTTATTGAATATACAAAGATACAATTTTTCAGGAAGAGGGGAAGCGGCCAATCAGAGGGCTGCCATAAAACACAAATGGGGAAAGTCAGGCGGTAGTGGTGGGATTCGAACACTCGTCCTCCGGGGTGATAATTGGTGACGTTACCACCGGGCCACCACCGCGTTTCTTTACACCCAAGCATCTTCTTTTATATAAAGCTCAAGTCTGCCGGTGCTTTGAATACTGCAGCCACGTATGGGGCGGAGCTTTGTACTCCGCTCTTTCTCTCCTCGACCGTGTTCAGCGTAAAGCCATCCGGCTGATCGACGAACCGTCTTTAACTTCCAACCTGTAGTCACTTTCCCATCGCCGGGCAGTTGATTCGTTATCTCTTTTCTATCGTTACTATTTTGGTCTCTGCTCTTCCGAACTCACGTCAGCGGTTCCCCATTCATTGACCTTCTCTTGTCCATCTCGTTCTCAGGCGACCAGTCACCCTTATCAGGTTTCTCTCCTCAGATGTCGGACTTCTATCTTTCAATCTTCTTTTTTCCCGAGTACTGCGAACTTGTGGAACACTCTTCCCATTTCCGTTTTTCCCAGCTCTCTCTTACCCTTTCCAAAAGCAGGATTAATAAATTGATTCTTACTTGAATGTTTCCCCACATACCTCCCCCTTACAATATATCGTTGATTTTGGGGTTTACCCCTTTTGCTGTAAATCATTTAGTGTGTAATGAAAAAAAGGAAAGTGAAAATGAGAGTAACATTTTCGCAAAACGAAGAGCAATGAAGGGAACTTCATCGATCGGTGAGCTCATAATGTGCATAAAATAAATACGAATGTGACAAGTTGGATGCATAATTGGTCCGTTTTTGTGGAGTAGAAAGTATCACTTGGTGCCATAGAACTCATCCATTTGTGGGTCAGAATTGAACTCTGTAGGGGTGTGCACCACAACGATGAATTTTGGCATCGATTTCTGCCAGAGCAATTGACCGGGTTTTGAAGCCCAATCAAGCATAAATGAACCTGTACGTGAATTTTACCAACAAATGACGCTTTAGCTTTATCGTTCAGCACAATTCTTACTCCACACCAATTAAATGTTCGCTCCGGACGAACGCAAAAAGTACCTTCAGCAAGAATCTGTGGCGCCAAGTGGCGTACAGTGGGAAGTTCTGAAATACAAGTTTCCAAGACGTAGCACATATGAACGGTTTACTGCTAGTTAAAGACAAGTGTGCTAACTGATCCGTATGAGCCTGAAAATTGAGGGCAGGAAGTTGGTGCGTTTTTAGAAGCTGCATTCATTAGGTTTATATATATATATATATATATATATATATAT